CACTCCACTTTCCGACCTGTCTCTCCATACCTAGGTCTCACAAATACAATATTCTTCTCCAGAAGCCACTGATTTACCAACAGGCGGGGTATCACGGGAGTTGTGTGAGAAGAGCTGGAGTATTTGGCCACACCCAGCAGGACGGCAGTGGCCGTGACTACCTTCTACCAAGAGCGGGAAGGGGGCAGCGAACATCAAGGCGCGTGGGGTACCGCGTGTACTCTACATCATCAGCTGGCGGGGCCCGGAAATACGTAGCTGTGGGATGGTAGAGTTCAAAGACACGAGAAAGCCGTCGAGTGCCTGTCTGCTACACCGCTACACCGAGGAACGTCGGTACGCCGAGGGACGTCGGGTGTGGGCGGGTAGGGAGGGAAGCAAAACGGACCAGCCGCGCGGTGGATTTCCGCGGGCACTATCTTCATTTTGGTTGGTACCGGAATGTGTTTTATTATTATTATTTTTTTATTCTTTTGTATGTGGCGTTTAGCAGTAACGGGCGATGACTTGTATTGCACGTGAATAGTCGCAAGTGAGGCGCTGTTGCGTACTTGCATAGATCGCCGTTAATTGCTGTTTGAAATCCATGGGTGTTTCCGCCGCCACATGCTCGAGTTTCACGCGTCACCGCTTGTTTTGTGTTCCCTGTGTGGCCCGTGTGGTTGCAGAATAAGGGAGGGTGGCGCCGTGCGTGTATTTTTTTTTTTGTTTTGGAGAGTGTAATGCTCGGAGAGTTTTGCGCCCGGTCTGCAGATATTCTGCAACGTGACAGAGTTATGGTCGTCCTCTCATGATTGAGGTGGAACTATTTCGATCTTGCAGTTATTGGATGACGGAGGGCGTTGCCTCTTGGGTGTTGTTGGACTCTATTTACGGGAGGAGTTTGGTCGTGTTTCCACGATGTTGCATGTACCATGTGTCTGATTTGTTGATTGAATGCTGGACGATCGCCACGTGTATGTGCTTCTAGGCAACCAAGTGACTGAGTAGTCTGGTGAATAAGACCATGTAACGAGTAAGGATACGCCGGGAGTTCGAATCTCACCAGGCGTCGCCTTTGTTCAAGGAATGAAGAAAGGAAAGCGCCTTTCCGAGAAGGGAAAAGCGACGCGCGTCGTTTGGCACACTAGAGAGGGCGTATGAAGTCGTCCCCAACTACTAGGCATGTGTTGAGTAAGGGAAGACATACGGCGTGTAGAGTATCAGTATTATTCAAAGAGCGGACAATGGATATCGGGTGCATTGTAGGTGGCTATTTTGGCCAAGTTTGTGGAACGACCTCACCAGAAGGGTAGGGGCGTGCTTGATGATTCGTTTTTGTGCTGCGCAGGGAGGACCTTGTCGAGTCAGCCGAGCGTGGCGTAGAGAGCGAGCCGGGGGCGGTGGTAGATATTGTCTTGCCTTGATGTTGCAGTACGGCCGTTGGAATCTTTCGTGATATGAACGGCGTGAAGGCGTTGAGATTTGTAAGAGGTTTTGATCCGATGGCGGGTTTCCCCTTACCTTTCTGATTTGCGTTGTTTTAGGTGCTTTTCGGATGTACTCTTCGACGCACGAGTGGTGGAGGTAGATTAGTCGGATTGTACCAAATCACTGGCGGTTTCGTGTACCGCAGATGGGATTGCCTTGAGGGGCGGCTAGGAGAGACCTTGAGATACGAGTTGCGGGCCCCCTTTTCGACTGGCTTTGGGCCTGGCACTCTTCCTCCCTCCTTCTCCCTCATGTCCCCCTACGACAATACATGCCGTTATCAACACTCTTTGGACTCTGGAGGTCACACAACAAGGGCATACCAACATCATGATGCTTGCAAAATCCTGCCGTCCTACCTCCAACCTTGTTGCGGCACTTTTCGCCACGTCGTGCGCCGCGGCTAATGGAAGCGACATATTCAGCCCGGTTCGCCAGAGAAGACTCCGGTGGAGATGGTTGCTGCTGCTGCTGCTGCTGCTGCTGCTGCTGCTGCTATTGCGCCTCACGCGAGGTCGTCGGGAGCCGGTCCGTGACCGGTAGCTCCGGGGTACCCTGTTGTTGCCGCTGTTGCCCACCTACACCGCGGGTGTTGTGACCAGC